ACCCGAAGAATAACAGAGTAGTTTGAGCCTAAATGAACTTACAAAACAGATACATATAGAATTCTTCACAAGCAGTTTTACACCACCTGGGAGTGTAAGTAAGTTAGCTGTCTGGGCTTCCTCAGTAGTTAATGGGGAAGAAGAGATACATTTTAAGGGAGTTTCTATCCTATTCTAAGAAAAAGTCCAAGGTAGTTGGGATGAATGCCTTCTGAATGGGTTCCTTTATACTGAGCTTAAATAACTGTTATGGGTTATACACCTCGTTTCAGCAGGCTCAAGTTCAACAAATCCCACTCAATGCACTTTGGTATGATATGAATGCCTGGGATTGAAGGGTAGGGCCTTGAAAGAGCATCTTCTGTTAACTCTTTTGTTTCCCCCCCCCCCCCGAAATTAGAACAGAAATGTCATTTTATAATAGTAACAAAAGTAAAGTTAAATATATGTGGAGAACTGAAATCTGCTTCCTGCCCTCTCCAGAAATAATACTTCTTCCCTGTAAGACATAAGAGATCTGGGGCTACAAAGCAATGGATCTGTAGCTCGCCTCCAGCAAACATCTGTTCTATTCTACTTTATTATTTCTGAAATGTGGGTAAGCACAGATAAAAGAGAATTTGGCTCTGAGTTTAACTTAATTCTTTTAATTGGTAAGAATATTTGAGAGAAAAAAGAAAAGAAAAGAAAAAAAGGGTAATACCTGGGGGATGTTAACAAGGAGAGATGATAATGTCCTCAACCCCTCTAAGATAGAGACTGAGAGGTAGATAATTACTGTTTGTGAGAGGTTACCAGGAGGTGCAGTGAAGGAAAAACTGCAATGAGCCATAAAACCACTGACTCTGTTGAGGCCATGATTTTTAGTCTCCAGCAGAGTTACAAATTTCAGTTCTCAGGCTCATCTTTTGAAAGGCTTTTTTGCTGGAACGGGGCTCAGGAAGAGCTCAGGAAGTCCTCCAAAAATAAGAAGGACCCTCAGCATATCTAGACAAACACAAACTTGTGATTTATATGGATCAACAGAAATGAACTCATGAACTGTACATATATATGTGTATAGAATAAGAGTCCAAGAAAAAATATTTTCCTTTTATTGTCTGCTCTCCCAGCGTAACCAGTAGCATCAACAAACCTTGTTAAATTCTTTTCTCTTGCATATATATTTCAGTGAAGCCAAAGCTGCAAAAGAAACATGAATAGTTCTGATCATTCTGATTTTTGGCAGATCAAAACTTATTTATAATCTTCAGAGATATTTCAGTGCTCATTTTATTTGAGTGCACTGCTAAGCCTGATATTCATATTAACAAATAGGGAATAAAAAAGAAGCTTTAGATTTGCTAATTGAACGTTGTCATACCTTTAATTACTTGAGTGACTGACTCAAGACAGTCTCCTCTCTTGCAGGAAGATTAATGTAAACTCCCTTTTAAAGTGATTAATCTTATCTATTGTATTCACATTTTTACAGAAATGAACAAAATACTTTTCTAGCCATGACTTCAGATGTGCTGTAAAAGATAATCTTCCAAGACTGACAGTAATAGATTATTGTCAACCAAGCAGGGAGCTCCAAGGCACTTGGGTCCATATTTTAGAAGGTATATAGACAACTGCCCCACAGATTTAACTCCAAAAATCCATCCTCAGTACTAAAGGTAGATATATTTATAGAGAGACACGTGTACCTATGAGCTATACAATGTATAATGACAATTCTTTGATTACCTTTATATTATAGCTGAAATGAGATATTTGTATATTCCCATCGTTTGTGGTATGTATTTGTTGGTCTAAGGTTTAATCTGGGTAAAACTATCCTTAAAGCAAACACTCAACTCTATGTTACATCTCTGAACCTGTAGGTTAACTCCATGTGGTTTCAACTTCAACTTGAACCCTTTAACAACAAATTATTATTTATGTAAGCTGTCAAATCCACACAGGCCAAGCAGCTGCACAAGAAGAAACTGAAGCACATAAGCCATAGTGAGAAGCATAAGGCTCCCATAAGAGACTAGTCTTTCCCTTTCTGTATTTAGTCCACTAAGAGTGCATTATTCATTACAATCAAGCTAAAGCTCCCCCAGTCTTGCCATTTCATCTGCAAGTTTGTTGAAAATTAAAGCTCAGCGTGAAGCCTCCAGAGAATTATTCTGAGTTAATAACACCTGCAAAGAACAGAGATTTCACTGTGAGGTAAATTGCTGTGTGATTGCCCACACATCAGCAAAAATTATAATTGGGAGAAACTGAATATTTTCTCTGTATTTAACTGGTGAGGATTTTGTAGGGTGTCATTTTACGTTAAGTAGTAGAGTTTTAATTTAGAATGTTTCACAGCAACCAATTGTGTTTGTTTTAAGAGCTAGATTTCTCTTCTATGAGACGATTTCTATTGCTGTCAGCTACTATTGCAACTTTATGCAATGCACATTTAGAAACCTTTCTTAATCCTAGGGAAAATTGTCAGAGACAGGCTTTAAACTATGGAATTTTTTCCCCGTGATTTCTTGTGAATTTAGAAGTTGATACTTTCCCCCACCTAGCTGTTGCTCATTAATAGCAAGCTAAGTCATGATTTTGATCTCTACATCTGTAGCATATGTACACTCAGCAGCTCCCTGGACGGCAGTGGAAACTACCTAAAGCATACATTTTTGTTTCTTCCAGATGTTTCAGGAATACACTCATAACTAACATGAAAAATTCAGGTGGAGCTCCTAAATCAAATTGGCTGTTAACATTATTATCTATCCAAAAAAGGACAGAGAAAGAAAAAAACTCAAATTATCTTGTCTCCATATTGCTCTGCATTGTTATACGCTGAGGTATTATCGTCTGCATTTTCCACGGGCCCTGTATCAATTCACAACTCATGTTTGGAGCAGCATTCAGGCTTCTGCGTGATGACAGTAACACAACCCCAGCACGAAATGGATAAAGCTTGTATCATTTGAAATAGGTCTACATGGAGATCCTTGGACAGACCTCTTTTTGCCTGTCCTTTGAAGAGAACCAGCTCTGGTGCACAGGCCAAGTATCCCTGCTAGCAAGATGTAGTGCTGAGCTCAGTAGGTTGCTCAGAGATTTAGTTGCTTGATTCAGGCAGGTTGCCATGCTAACGCGGCTGGGTGTGCCTTCTGCATGGGAGCTGCTTGGGCTCTGCCTGCTCATCTCTGGGCAAAAGTGCTTTTGTGACTTGCAAAATTATGTGGCTTCATTTAAATCACAATGCACAATTTACTTACACGGTCGCAGTGTCTGAGCCTTACTTACCAGCAAGCTCTTTGCTCTAGAGAATATACTTTTGAATTATGCACTGAATGCTGCCAGGAAACTGTTGGTATAGTCTTCTGTCCCTCCCTATTAATCTCTTGCCACCCTTCTAATTTCTGTGCCTTACAGAGAAAGCTCAAGTGCTTGTCTCACTGAACTCAAACTTAGGATTGTAGTCATAGCTGTTGGGTTGTTTTCTTTTTTCTTTCTTTTTCTTTTTTCCCAGTTGTAACAGGAAAAAAAAATGGTTAAAGGCTAAGGGAAAAGGAACATATCTAGGAGAGTGACATCTGGTTTCAGATGTGTACTTTTAGTGCAGTGAAACTTGCTTCAATGAATTCCTGTTCTACGCCTTTTACAGTTACTGGAATAAAATGTCTCTGGTGCCAATGGCAAACACATAAGAGACAGGGAACTCATAACTGCATGAATGTGTTAGACAATAATATGTAGTGGGTACTGCCGCTGAACATAATAGCTGAGCTATTCTTACTGCAACACAGCTAAGGGCTAATATAACACAGGTTCATTTCCTTGGATCAACATAAGATGTATTCAAAAATAATTTGCTGGGCAAGATGAGGCTTTTCAAGCTCAGATAATCCTACTGCCTGCTCCAGAGGTTGCTGAGAAGTGTAATGAAATAACGAATCCCTACTGATTGACTAATCTTTCTTTTCCACAACACTTCAAAGCGTTTCCCTTTTTCACTTCAGAACAGAACCGTGGGTAAGCGGGCCTCCAACACAGAGAATTGTCTGTGAAAGTCCTGCCATGGGCTCCAGCTTCAAGCTTGTCATCTCTATGTCACTACTTGTGGATCATCCTAGAGTTTAACTCAGCTATTACAGGGCTAGGGGAAGACCTGGTGTTTGGCTCAGGGCTCTAGGAAAGAGGAGAGGAAGCAGGTGTACTGTATAAGCAAACCTCCATGTGTCAACATCCATACACTTGTCAGATGAATTTATCTGCTCCAGCTGCACTGCTCTAAGAGTGGATCTTTCAGTATATATTTATCTGACGTATTATGTGTCTGAAATGTTCTGTCAGTTTCTTTCAGAGAAGAACTTTGTGGCACAGGGAATGTAATTAGGAGGATGGTCTCGCATCACCATAGGATCCCACAGTATGAACCAATGTACCAACTAACAGCATCCGATTGGGCTAGGTGCCATATAGTAGGAGTTAATCCTTGTCCAAGAGAAAAGTGAAAGAGGAAAGGAGCTGACTGTTATTTTACAGAGAAGAAAACCAATGCTCTGAGACAATGTGTGTTGAGAAAGCCGATGGTAGTTCAGAGGAGCAAAAGTGGAAATCTGAAAGAAGTGTTGTGTTATGGGCTTCTAGTCTGTGTTTCAAACGGTCTGTGTCGTGTACAAACTTCTGTTGTTTCAAAGCTGTTCTTTTCAAAATGTGACGCCCATGGAAAAAATTTCTTAAAGGAAAAACAATGGCCAAAATTGAAAGAAAGGGACCCAAGGTATGCAAACCAGATTTCCACTTGCTTGAGTTCAAAAGGATGTTTTTCTATTCCTGCTCTATATTACAGATATGTATCTGAATTTAGATGCTTGTCTTTGAATTATGTTATGAACTTGTCCGCAATTTATGGGAATTTGTGTGCAGGGAGTCACATCTATCTCTAAGTTTGAACTATTGTTGGAATTTAAATGTTGTAAAAAGAGGAAACAAGAAAAGAAAAAAATCTGGTTTTCTAGGTTGTCCTGGGGCCAAGAAGAATGAATTCCTGACTAGTGTTTTGGATGCGTTGTCCACGGATATGGTGCACGCAGTCTCTGATCCATCATTGTCTTCTAGCCGGTGGGTTTCAGGTCCTTTTTGTGTGTCTTTAAAAGGATTCTGGCGGTGGTGAATGAATTGTTGAGGGCTTTGAGAACTAATTCTTCTGCCTTCACAAAGGGTAAATTTCCAAGAACCTATCTAGGAGAGTTTACTTCAAAGTTACCACTGTGGACCATGTCCACTAAACAGAGATGCACTTGACAGCTGAATTCGCAGCAGCAGCACAGCTTAGAGTTTATTTGTAGCTGTTGGTCCAACTGTGTCTCGGTCTTTGTTCTCCTCTCAGGCTTTACTTGATGAATGTGTGCTACCTTCCTGATTCATATTTTGCCTAGTTGCTTGTAAAGCAAACCAGTGCTATCAACAGTCACAGGCAGAATTAAAAATGTGCAAGTGCTGTCAAACTTAGGGTGTCTGCAGGTCCGGTGCTTACCATCTGAAAAGGAGGTGGCATTTGTTGTTATAACTTACACTGTAGTTCAATACGTTTAGGAGTTTTATCTCTAAGAACATCCATCATGGGTTGCAATTGGAGCCTAGGTATTCGGCGATGCTGACTGTTGACCTACTTCAGCTGGCTATATTACGCATTTTAATGTGTCTGCCATCTATGAAACTGTCTTTTTCTCTTTTATTTCTCTCTTCACTTTTCTCTGTTTCAGGAAATGAAAGAGGAAAGCACTGTTTTCTGACTATGGTGCTGACCTCAACACAGTTTCAGAGTTAACTAGGAGCAGAATCCAGCCCTCAGTGTAAAATTTAGGATACAGTTGGCCAAAGTGAAAAAAGAGGGATTCACTACAAGAAGCTAGTGGCCAAAAGCAGAGAGGTTTATGTAACAAAGCATCTGACAGTGATTTAACTATTCTGAAATAAAGGTATAAACTGAGGTTTATGTATCAGAATTAAGATTAAACTCTTGTTTTCTGTTTCAGGGTTTCAGAGCCTGATCCAAATCATACTCTGGAAGAGAGAGTGGTCCATTGGTATTTCAAACAGCTAGATAAAAATTCCAGTGGTGACATTGGCAAGAAAGAAATCAAGCCATTCAAGAGATTCCTCAGAAAGAAATCAAAACCAAAAAAATGTGTGAAGAAGTTTGTGGAATACTGTGATGTGAACAACGATAAGTCCTTATCCGTTCAAGAACTAATGGGCTGCTTGGGAGTAACAAAAGAAGAAGGTAAAGCAGAAACAAAGAAACGCCATAGTAAGAATCTTTTCTACCTTGTTCACTAGATTCTTCAAAGCTGACGAAGTCTGATATTTGTATATGCCAGAAGTATACAAAATAAAAGAACACACCTGTCTGTAGCTAATGCAGCTGTCGCTTAGGGCAGATGGCAGGAAAGCTGCTTCTGTGTAGGCAAATCATCACTTTGCTCCAACAGAATCAAAAACTTCCCCTTGATTCTGACCATTGAATGTATTACAGTAGGAAACCTAAGAGGGTACGATAACATTAACAGTCATCAAAAAGCCAGTTTAATGTTATTACAGTACTATGTCCTGAATGAGTGTATCA